TTCGGACAGCGCCGGCTCCCGGCCTCTTGAGCGAGATGAGCGTGCAACCCTAGAGTCGGTCACGACTGGCCCTGACGGGCAGGGGTACCTTTACCTTACCTTTAAGTCCTATGAAAGCAAGATAAGGTATATTTAAGGATTGCAACCCACTTCCTTTTCATTCACCTTTCTTTCCATTTCAACACTCTTACTTGAATGTGACCGTTGGTGGATGGTGCCCATTGGGACTGTTGAGGAGGAAGGCAGGAAGAACAACCGTAGATGATGCCAAAGCCATTGGCAAGGCAGAGCCAACTAATTCCACATCCTCCTCCTTGCTGAGTTCTACTAGGGCAAAAGTGAGGCTAAGGAGGAGACAGCAGGCAGCCATGACCACCCTCTGGACTGGTTATATGCAAGAAGAAGGCGGTGGGCATATGACACATTTCTATTATAGCTGAGGCATATGACACATTTTATTATAGCTGGTGATATACCTAGGAACAAAACAGATTTGTTTCACAAACTAATCAGAGTTAACAACTGATCCCCATCACAACTGGCATGTCTGTTCTGAAGCCTTCTTATATCTAACACTTATTAGGCAATCCCTAAACAGACCTTTTTACCCCATCTCATCCATGGTACTGAATTCATTCAGCGGCAACCACACTGTGTATTATATCCAACAAAGGGTTTATCCACACGCACCTTTCCCCCGTTCTTTCCAGGCACAGCCCATGTTTTAAAGCTCTGTGTTCAAGCGCCCTCCCCCCACCCAAAGCTCTCCCTGGGAAAACTTGTTATTTAGTGCTCAATTGGAGCAAACGTCTATCTGTGGAAAACCCAAATTGACTTTTGCTCCAACTGAGCACCAAAGAACTGATTTCATGGGTAAAGCTGGGTGGGTGGGGTGATGATGATCTGAGTGGATCTCAGACACGGAGCTTTAAAACACAGACCTGTGCCTGGAAAGAGTGGGGGAAAGCCCAGAGCCAATACACAAGCAGAACTGCTCAGGTACTGGAACTTCTTCTTCCTCTCAACACACACCCTGCACTGTCCCAAATCTGCTTTCGGTTCCTCTCCTGAAACCTGCAGGTAACATTTGGGAGGGTAAGGGGAAGAAAGTGAAGGGAACTTCTACCCTGCAACCCTGGAAGTGGGACCAGAGGGGGGATCACAACAGTGATCATTTTATGTAAGAAAGAAAGAACTGTCATGTTGTGTCAGAACAAAGGTTGGTCTAGTTCAGCTTTCTAACTATAGAGATAGTGTCCGAAAAGATGCCTTAGGGAAATTTGCAAGAAGGCAATGATGGCAATATATCCACCCTCTGCTGTTTATTTCTATAATATGAGGTATACTGAACATGGTGGTTACACCTTTGGCTGCCGTAACTAGGAGCACTGAGGAGAGATTTATCATTGATGCTCAGAAGCACCACAGCATCAATTCCATAAGCTGAGTATACATCCCACCTTTGGTCATGCAATTAAGACGAGATGGAGCTTTGCAAGGTTGACGGTTGTGTTACTATCATTGCATTCAGCTGATTTTGACTTCCCTAGACACAGATATTCATGTAGACTGAAAATATCCTCAGATTCAGGGACAAACTAGATTGATGTTAGTCATGTGATTAGCCATTGTGGGCTCTTTTTTTATTTATTAAATTTCAGCCTTGGATCCTGATACGGATCATCCTCCCCTACCTGGTTGCTTTCTTGTAAAGGAAAAATAAGCATGTAAGGGGAAAGAGGGACACACAACTAAAGTAATATATGAAGATAATACCTAAAGCTTTGAGGCGTGTATATATATAACCTACTGTTCATGACATACTGATACGTTTTACACTATTTCACGGATTCCAGCTTATTAGTAATTTTAGCAAGTGTCCTGCAAATTGAGTGTTTTGCAGCACAGTCCTTAGTAAAAATAATTGAGGGCAACAGGTCTTGCCCCAAATTAAATGCAATCGGATTGCATCCTTAGAGAACTGTAGAGAAATCCTTTTCACCAGAAATGTTCTTCCTGATGCCACTGGAACAATCATTAGTGGTGGTAGTAGTAGTAGTAGTATACTGGCCTTCATCCATGGATCACAGGGCAGTTCATAACATAAAATACAAAATGAGAACACAAAACACATAATAAACAAAAACAAATAATAAACACACCCCCTTCCCACAAGCACATTTAAAAGACCATAGAATGTTTAATCAGCTAAAGGCCTGGTTATAGAGGAATGTACCTAAAGATATATAATGAAAGCATTCATAACATCAGCTTCTATTTATCACTGCTGGTTTACAAAATGTGTGGAGGGGCTCATATTTAAAATCCTTCTAACCACTGCTACCACATATCTCTACTATGTCTGCTGTTTACTAAAGCCTTACATATATAACCCAGTAGCTCTGATACTTTAGGTGTGGTATAAAACAGGCCAGACTTGCAATATAAGTTTTTAAAAATTAACAAGTTATGAATTATTATAAAGGTAGAATAATACTAATACTTAAATTGGTTACTATTTATTTAAGATTTATTTTTGCTCTTATAAACTTACTATTACTTTAAATTGCAGTCGCTTACAAATACAGAAGTTTACACAGGACTGGCTTGCAAAGTTCAGTTGTTCCTCCTTTTTCTTACTTATCTGCCAATTACTCTCCTCCCCAGTCAATCTCACCACAGTCAGACCACTCTGTCCATCCAATAAGCAACCAACAACCCAGCTAGCCAATAAGAAGTGAAATTTTACAATCCTCTCACACAGCATAAAAATAACCCAGCCTTTGCCACACCAACCTCATTCACCTTAGTAACTGCCACCTGCCATTCACCAACGGAAACTTAACTATTCATGCAACCCCACATACACAATAAATTCTTATACACTGTATATAAAACAACCCTGTCTCAGTAGACACATTTTAAAAGGTGATTTCTCCACAAGAACTGAACATGTTAGAGATGGAGAAAAGCAAGCGTTACATTATTGTTATCACCCATCGCTGAAATAAGGTGATCCACAAGGCTTTTTACAAGTTAAACTTTGTACAGCAAACAGTTTAAGGCTGACACTTGCATTGTTCAAATATACGACTGATATAAAATGGTTTGGCTTACTGTTATACGCAAGGGCAGGTCTGGACTTTAAAAAAATGCTTCTTGGTGCAGTAAATGCTATGATGTGCTTACCTGTTGTAATTCATAATTATAACCCTAGAACAAGCATGATGAACGCAGCTTTTGTGTCACTTTTCAGAATGTGTGCTTAGCTTGGAAAATGTTAAATAATTGAGTAGTGGAAGGTTTAAAATTAGTTGCTAATTAAACACAGTACTTCCTCACCATTTTTGCAATGACACCAACTGTTATTGAAATAAATAGCGCATTGGCATCATTCCCTGCCATTCCACTTAGTAATGTCACAATCTTTCTTGCTATGGTTTTTATGAATAGAGTGTCTCCTATTTAAAGGGTGGTGGTGCGGAGAATGAATGAAGTGTGTGTGTGTGTGTGTGTGTGTGTGTGTGTAGATTCTATTACAGTCAAGCTATTCACCATCCTAAAGCCTATTCTGTAAGGGACCCCATAGATCATCTAGTCCAACCTCCTGCAATGCAGAAATATGTATCCACACGGGAATCAAACCTTGGTGTTATCAGCACCACTCCCAAACCAACTGAGCTAGGATATACATAAGATTACATGTTTTATACTCTAGGTGTTGCAAGTAACATTTTAATGTGAAAGAAACTAAGGAAAACCAAACACCTGTAGATGTAGGATTTCATCCAATAGGGTTGTGGCCATCAAATCTCTTAGCCCTAACCCAATCATATCATATTGACTAATAGTTAGTGAGAGGCAACAAAATTCTGGGTGAATCTTCTGTCTACCCGTATAGTAATCCAATAATTTACAGTGGTACCTTGGGTTACAGACGCTTCAGGTTACAGACGCTTCAGGTTACAGACTCCGCTAACCCAGAAATAGTACCTCGGGCTAAGAACTTTGCTTCAGGATGAGAACAGAAATTGCGCAGCGGTGGCGAAGTGGCAGAAGGAGGCCCCATTAGCTAAAGTGGTACCTCAAGTTAACAACAGTTTCAGGTTAAGAACGGACCTTCAGAACGAATTAAGTTCTTAACCCGAAGTACCACTGTACTCAAGGTTGAACGTGGAACTATAAAAATGCCCATTTAAATCCAGTTGAGGTTGGCATCTTGTTTAACCCTGGTCATCATTCAAATGCCACAGCATTGTTTGAAAACACATAAAAATGGGCCTTCTTGTGGGAAAGCATAAAATTTTCAAATCAGTTATATAAACACTAGTGGTGGGGATCACAGCTGAAGAGAGAGAGAAAGAGAGATTGGATTAGGGAGGCTTAGACAGCAATCCTAAATAAGTCCCAGTCCAATGGGGCTTATTTTTATGTCAATATCCATAGGTTTACACAGTTAGTTACTACTGCATAGTTTGAGTTGCTCTTTGGAAAATAAATTGATTCAATCAATTTCATAATGGTTTAGCCTATGGCAACTAATGTGTATCACATGGAGGTAAAATCAAAATGACAACAAAGTAAGGGCAAGATATTCAGACGTGGGAGATAGGGTAATAACATTATTTCTCATTTTCCTGTGAAGCACACATATACTCAAATGCAAGTCCCATTTATTTCTGTGGCATCTGCACCAGGTAATTTTCTTTTGAAAATATTGTGCATGTTTAGCAATTAAACAGCATTCTGTTTTGCTGGATGTTGGTTAGTTTCCTTAGATAATCCTGTTCACAGCTGCCAAAAATAAAATAAGAATTGCACTCTTTGTGCTCTTTTCTTAAATGTTTGATAAAGTAGCAGGCTTAAAGACATTTTCACCAGCTGCAAATTTCTGTTACCATTTTAAAAGTGTGAGTTGTATGAAGATGGCTATGAATCATGCCGCTCACTGTATACCACACAGCTAATATTGCTGTGAATGACTCCATAATAGGATGTGATCTAGTAGCTCTGCGCAGTCTTTATTAGGGTGTGATAAAAGAAGTTATCAATGGTTACAGTGAATTTAAGACACTTTATTGCTGAATATAGCAATGATATATTACAGAATGCTTTTTAATTGGTAGTTAGCTTTCAGTGTTTTGCTAAGACCAGCACTTTGCATCCATATACCACCCACATAAAATTAGATTTGAGCCTACACTCCAGAGTACAAATTATGCACATTTTCCAGTTTCAAGTTATTCTTTAATGATTCTGGCTTCTGTGGCCATTGACAGCCTGCTTAAATATTAGGCTTTATTCATCATTAAGCTAAGCCAGAAGACGACCCAACTCTAAGAGATTGTGGGGCAGTCTCCCGTGAATCACACATTTCTATGGCCACATTGTGGCAAAAAGGGTTTTCGTTCTCAACAAAACCGACTCTTTGTTGTTTTAATAATGTTAGTAAAGAGCTTTAAACACTCTAAAAGCACTATATAGACTATAAGACTGTGTAGCAGGGCTGAGACGGATGACATCCTACATTATGAGGAGGGCTTCAAATATATTTGGAAAGCATATGAGATTAAAACTTAATTTGTGTCAAATTTGTTGCGTCATGTAGTGGTCAGTTGGTTTTAGCACTGTGTGTGCTAAACAAAGCCTTATCTCTTAATGTTTGGACCAATGTCTTCAACAGACGTGTTGGTTCTCTTAGACAACCCTAAACTGGTTTCCCTTCGTACTGGATGAATTTGGATTGGCTACTCCACTGTTCCCAAGTGGAGAATCAATGTACATGCTGATTTGAGCCCCATCCAAGTGTTCTTTCTGACCATTGGGGGAGGGGCAGTGAATGGAGGTATATTGCTCAAAAGCCCTGGTCAGGCATTTAAATTCATGCATTTGCTATTGCATGAGTGGGGAACACTAGGACTCACTTCTTTGCCCAATTCCTTTGTCATATCACTGTTTTCTGCTCTTGCAGTCGCCACTTGGGGGTTGAACTTCTGTTGCAAGGAACCATTTCTACTTCAGTAAGATCCAATGATAATTGAGAAGCCTGATCATTTATCGCAGATCCCACTTGTCATGCATGTTGTTTGTATATTCTCATAGAGCTGGGTCTTAAGAAAGCTGCAGCAACTTATGAAGTATTTGAGATGTTTAAAAATATGTTTACAGACCTCCAACCAGAATGGCTGAAAACCAAGATTCAATACAAGGGTGTCTAAAATATTATACCTTAAATAGGTCCCAGAATAGACCGATTTAAATTATAGGCATGACTAACTTAGGTTCATTACGTTTAATGAGTCTTCTCTGAGTGTAGCTTAGTGGAATACAATTCACTTTTTAATAGCAAACAATCTCATGCACATACTTGTATTTCTTCTGGTTGTTTCTGCAATCTACATGAATTTAGGGATGTCTATAATGTTGCAAAAGCCATTATGTTTGCCACTCCTGCTGACTGATAGCTCAGGCCTAAAAACATACACTATATTCAAATATGTCATTAACATATTCTGGCTTTCATACATTTATCCAAAAATCTGGACTTGTGTGTGCTAAACAAGGTGTTGTCTTGCAAAGAACAATATATTAATTTGCCAAATAACTTTATTAATGGTTATGATATAAAAGCAGAAATCTAGAAATTGCAAAAGACCAGGCACAAGGAAGAGAGCTTCACAAAGAAGAAAAAGAAAGACGATATATTGGAAGAGCAGTTTTTATATCCCAGAAGACAAAGCAAACAAATGATATGAGGACGTCGTCAAACTGTTGACATTTCTTCACAGGACAACCTTCAAAGGGACCCAGCTACCGTGGTTTCATTTTGTCTGTATGAAAAGAGAGGGGTGCATTTAATTAGGTTTTCCCAATTGTCCCTGCTTAATGTAGGTGTGGGTGAACATTCCCATTCATCACGTCCCTTCATCCTCTCCCTTATTGTACATGAATGACTGGTAGGAGACCACCTGACCTGTATACATGATACATTTGAACTGAGGGAAGCAGACACCAAAATTAGTCCATCCAATCCTCCTGAAAAGCTCTTTGCATAGGCTCTTTTAACTTTGATTCTCAGAATAATAATTTCTGCCTGACTCTGTCCATCCATTGCTGCTTCTGGAGTACTGGATGGAAGACTGCTCCCTGCTGCAAGGCTCATTTCCACCTGGCCTAGGGGGCAGGGCCCAGCCTAAGGGACTTTGTTGGAACAACTCCTGGGTTGGAACAACTGGCTAAAATGTTTTAAAATGTTTTAAACAGATTTAATTTTGGTTCCTCTGTTTTGTTTTTGTTGAGTTGGAGTTGGTTAAATGTTTAGTTGGGGTTGGTAGTTATTTTAATTGGTGTATAACTGTTAACTGTTATTATTAATGTTGTTGTTGTTGATGTTGTTGTTAGTTTCTATTGATTTATTGGTTTATTTATAGTCTGTATATTCTTTTTTTAAAATGTTTGATGTTTTATTATGTTTTTATATATGCTGTAAGCAGCCCAGAGTGGCTGGGGAAACCCAACCAGATGGGCGGGATATGAAACCATCATCATCATCCAGTGTGGTGTAGTGGTTAAGAGCGGTGAACCAGGTGAACCAGGTCTCTGCTCCTCCACATGCAGCTGCTGGGTGACCTTGGGCTAGTCATACTTCTTTGAAGTCTCATGGCCTCACTCAGTGTTTGCTGTGGGGGAGGAGGGGAAAGGAGGTTGTTAGCCACTTTGAGACTCCTTAAAGGTGAAGGGACCCCTGACCATTAGGTCCAGTCGTGGCCGACTCTGGGGTTGCGGAGCTCATCTCGCTTTATTGGCCAAGGGAGCCGACGTACAGCTTCCGGGTCATGTGGCTAGCATGACTAAGCCGCTTCTGGCGAACCAGAGCAGCACACGAAAACACCATTTACCTTCCCGCTGGAGCGGTATCTATTTATCTACTTGCACTTTGACGTGCTTTCAAACTGCTAGGTTGGCAGGAGCAGGGACCGAGCAACGGGAGCTCACCCCATTGCAGGGATTCGAACCGCTGACCTTCTGATAAGCAAGCCCTAGGTTTAACCCACAGCGCCACCCGCGTCCCTTTGAGACTCCTTAGGGTAGTGATAAAGCGGGATATCAAATCCAAACTTCTTCTTCTTCTTCTTCTTCTTCTTCTTCTTCTTCTTCTTCGGTCCCAGAATCTTGTATTCATGACTAAATAAAATATAGTCTAGCTTTTGCATTATAAGACTTGCACAGATTGGTCTTTAGTTTAAGGAGATGAGCTATAGAACAGTTGCCATCTAATTTATGAGTATTTTTTAAATCTTCAGACATAAACTCTTCAGGTGAAAACTGTTTGCTTTAATTCAAAGCGCAGAAAATCTTAGCAAAATACGCTTGTAAATTCCCTGTTTACCAGCCTGCTTTTCTTAGTAAATAGTAAATACAAAGACAGAAAGGGTGAAGTTATCATACTCACTTTTTTGAGACTAGTTCATTCGACACACAGAAAATATCTTTCTCTGTCATAGGTCTGTAAATGGAATTGCCCACTTGAATCACAACCGGATTATTCAATGTTGCATTGAATGTTCTCTTCAGGACTGTATCTTTCAGAAGTGGACTCAGCTATGAAAACAGAAACATATAATATTATATTATGGTTTTATCTTGCAGATCAATTAGGGGGTAACATAAACTGATTTGAGAAATGGTTTTGAGGAAAATATAGCTGCTAGGAAATGAAGTTTATGAAGGTTTCCTTAGCCACCTCTGCACTTCACCTCTGGGAATAATATGAGGATTCCTTTGAAACTCAACTTTCCTCTTCTCAATGAAGTAGCAGCGAAATAATATGATCTCAGTGAATGGTTGAGGCCAAGGGCCACTTCACACTTTATATGTATCCTACAAGGAGACAATCTTTTAGAGAGATTGTGCACCCAAGTACCTCTGAGGTGTGATGGCGGAGCAAGTCTTTTATTTAAATATAAGTACACATTTTTCAATACTCACTGAGGCACACTGAGAATATGTACAAAATGAACTTCAAAATCCCAACCCCAATCCACCCACTGATGAGATAAATCATAATGTCAGGTTTGAGTGTCATGGGAAACTATCAGGTAGAAGAGAGGGAGGGAGGGAGGGAGGGAGAGAGAGAGAGAGAGAGAGAGAGAGAGAGAGAGAGAGGAAACACCTTCCTGGTTCTATCTGACTGAAATGTATTAAACAGTTAACCCCTGACTTGATTTCCCACTCTACTGTCCTTCCTCTCCTGCCCCTTCTTTACTTATTGCTTTTCAGTTTGTCAAAATAGGTACACGCAAACATAAAATGTTGAGGAAAAGTAAACATAAATCTTACAACAACACACATCACACCAGTTTACTACAGCTTTCCTGCTTGATTTCACAAACTACTGGCAGCAGAGAAATGCTGCTCTTCCTTAAAAGATCAAAGGAGCGGTTCTGTATCAAAAGTGATTTTAAATCCTGTCTTTGATTTCATCAAAATCTGCATTGCGCAAAGCAGGAATGCTGCGCCTAAATTTTTATTCAAAAATAATGATTGACTCCGGATATGTCTTTGGTGGAACTTCACTTACTGGACACTCCGTGGGCAGAAGGATGAGGAGGCTATTTACAGCCTTTCCTTCTTCCCCCTGCTGCTCCCTGTGCTCTCCACAAATCTGCTCATGAGGGCTGGGGAACCCTCAGGAACAGTGTGCAAAGTGGTACAGGAAGGAAAAGGAATCATCTCTAGGCCAGGCATAGGCAAACTCTGGCCCTCCAGATGTTTGGGACTACAATTTCCATCATCCCTGACCACTGGTCCTGTTAGCTAGGGATGATGGGAATTGTAGTCCTGAACATCTGGAGGGGCGGAGTTTGCCTTTGCCTGCTTTAGGCAGTTAATGGATTAGCAGCCTATAAAGAGTTAGAGATCCATCTCTGAATGGAAGGAGTCCTTTTGTTTGCAGAGCAAGACAGTCATAGTCATCAATCCAATGCATTAGAATTTACTGAAAATGTAGGATTTAATTTCCTTCCTATAATGCCACAAATTCTACTGAGATGCATCCCTGTTTTTCATAATGTGTTGGGCCATCACATCCTGAATCTAGCATTTCAAACCTAAAAAATAACTGAGTCTGGAATAAAGTATTGTGGAACAATGGGCTATGTGAAACAAATGGACCCATTCTTCTATGACAGTGGTTTTTGAACTATGTGCCAAGGAATTGCAGGGTTCCTTGGGAGATTATCAGGCCTTCCGCACTGAACTAATTACTAATAGCAAACATGTGTCCCAAAAAGACAGCTAGACCACCAGTGCAGAGGAAGAGTCTAGGGTGTGTTTTATGCTACACTCCTCACACAAGTCCAACAGGCCTATGTGAACTGAATGCACGCTCTAAAAGATTTGCCATGCAGAGGTTTTGTAGAAGACACACATGAATTCCTCAGCAGGTGAAAAGATCAATGCTGCTGTAGAGCACAGAAAGTTTGTCTTTACGCGTCATGTAAGCTGAAAGGCAGATTTGGAAACACTTTGCTTAACAGCTACAATCCTTGTTATTTGAGCAAAAGGCCATGGTGGGGACCTGGATCTGACTATAAGACCAACCCAAGGGTAAAAATACTGTTGATCAGTCTGCACAGATATTGACCTAGGCAGCAAGCAACTTGACTACACATCAGACAAATCAATAATCGCCAGCAAAAAGCTCTCGGAAGTACTGATCAACATAGATCAGAGGCGGAGGTCAGTAGCTACATGTCCAAAAAGAAGAGATTAGCTCAGGCATGGACTAATGCCGTGAGGCAGGCAGCAAAACAAGGCAGATCCAAGCTGCATTTCTATCAACATTTCTAGCAACATTTATGACCTCTGATTGGAGCATACGAATGAATGGTGTTATTTTTTATAATCACATTAACTATCCCATTCTGACAAATGCTTTTCATTTATGTTTAGCTTCTCTTACCCTAAGTTAAACCTAAGTCACTTATGAACTTGTTGAAGGAAAGAACTAAAATTTGATTTGTAGGAAGATTTAGGAAGGGACCTCCGATCACATATCTTCCCCTAGGCCCAGTGCCAGCTCTCAGCAGCACTGCCCAAAACAAGGGTAGCCATGGATTTTGAATACTACAAACCATGAACCTAATAACAGTACATCTAGCCTTGGCCAGCCACTTCCTTCCATATATGAAACGTACAATGGAATTCCAGTTAATTTCATCTAATATATTTTAAAAGCCCAGAAGCAGAGACCCTACTGAAAACCTGCCTCTACCTGCACAGAAAACACATAAAGCAAATGGAAACCCTGCTGAAACAATAAATTGCTCAGCAAGCGTCAATATTGTGAGCTAGGCCAGCCACCACAACCCAAAGTTTTGAGTCTCTTGCTGTATGATTTATTCATTTAATGTCTGGAGGCTTGAAATGCAATATATTTAAAAGCCAGGACCACCAAATTAATGTATTCACACAACACACCGTCTTGCTAGACAACTGACCACTGAAGTTTGTATTACAATTCTCTTATATACAAGCATTTTATCTCTCTCCCTTATCCATCCTTCCTAAAATAAAAGTTATTAGTTAAATGTAATCCTACTAAGATCCTAGTGGTAGCACATACATACAATTGTGCAGCTAAAGTAAGATCCTTTCGTCAATAAAATATCCCTCATTCCTATTAAATAGTACCCAACCAAAAAACACTTCATGAAAATTCAGAAGGATGCAAGACGTAACCTCTCTGAGATTATAGCCTTAGGCTATGCAATTCTAGTGGATGCAAAAAGGTAACATGGCTTGGCATTTGAATTTAAAATTGTTTTAAAATATTTTTTTCATTGAGCTTTATTTAAAATGGAAGGGGGAAATGCAGCACATACATATTAATTTTTCTGTCAGTAGTACTTTTAGTCACAAGGGGGAAATCCAGACTTCCATTGCATGTCTGAATTTCCACAGGCTTCCGTTTCTCTCTCTCTCTCTGGAATTGTACAATAGGTGAATTTGACCCAGTAGTTTATTTCTCTCTTCCTCCAATTATTTTTTTGTATTAGTTATCTGTGTATATTAAAGAAAGTATTGACTTGTTGAATTTCTGCTGTATGTGCTTCTCATCACACTGGGACTTCTTAGATCTATATGAGCTTAGGTGGCAGGCTCAAACACACAGCCTTGCTATGCATAAGATAAAAATAAAAATGTGTGTATTAGCTTATTTATTGTGTGTGTTAATATTTTATTAGAAACTTACCTGATAATGTGATTAAAGAGTCGAGTACCAATTTTTAAAATGAATGAATAAATAAAAACTTACAGCACCAAGCTTATCTGTGTACAGTCATATAGGCAATTCCCTGGATTTCTGAAATCCTTCCACCCTCTTCTTGAAGAGGATTGATGGTGGGATTTGATTGTACATGCCCCAGGCCATATGCTACCATGTGCCTATGACAGGCAGAAGGTACAGGGACGAATGGAGGCCGCCGCTCATCCACGCTGTGGTTTAAATGGCAAGTGGCCACACCCCCCAGCTAACCCGATTGGTCGGCCAGGGAGCGTGATGCAGCTGGCCATCCTAGTGATGTGGGCAGCATCCCTCCACCCAGAGCTAGGTCACTGGGAGGTCCCGGAACTCCTCCTGCAATGCGGGAAAGGGGAGCTGTCCTCTTGAACGTGTGTCTGAATTGGCCCTTACTCGCTTGAGTGTGCTTCAAGTGGTGTTAGCTATCATTAAGAGTCAAGCAGCAGGGTAACTTTATTTAAGCAAGGCTGCGTTCAACTCCTAATTTTCTCTGTCCCTCCTGCTCTTTCTCTGCACTGCGTGGGACTCACTTTGTGGTGGCTGTTCCCTTCATCTGTGCCTTCCCTGAGTCATTAAGTTTCTCTCCCTGTTTGTGGTCCCAACTCTCTTACTTAGTTCAGCACACAATGATACAGAGTTCCCTGGAATTATTTCTTCACAACGTACAGAAACACAGAGAAGCAGCTCCCCGGTGGCTGTGGAGCTTCTGTGCCACAGACTGTACGGGTATAAATCTCTTTCATTCTCTGATATGCCAAAAAGTGTATGTTGATTTAATATATACACTTAAATTTATGTTACAATATATTTCCCTGAAATATTAAAATTTCTGTTAAATGCATAGACTGAACTCCCAAATATTGTTAATTGTCTCAATAAACCAACATACACTGGTGCAACCTAACAACGTTTGTCTGCCAAATGTTTGGTGCAGGAGGCTGTAGGGAGAAGAATGTTCACTTGCAGAACATTGTGTATCACCCAGTGTTATTGTTTTTTGTAACAATATTATCAGCCCAAAAATGAAAATACCAGACCTGCAAGGGATTAATGGAAACATAGTGGTGATTTGTTGATTAATGCATTTTCTGCTTTAATTTTCCTCATACTTCCTCCAGCTTTATAGATTCCACTTACCCACTGTTGTGAGAAGCCATAATAGCGAGCCATTGAAGAGGATCTTGCAGCATATTGAAAAAAACACCCACTATATTTCCAGCGGATACCACATTATGTAATTAGGTTAATTTTTGTGCTGTAGCTCATTAGGCAGCTTGACAAAAGTATTTGCATA